CAGTCTGATTTAAATAAGGACTCTTATTGATGACTATGACCCTGCTATTCCACAACAGGATTGTGGGTGAAAATTAGTTTCCCAACATTCAAAGCTTGGTTATAGAAACTAGACAACTTAAGAGGAATCTCAGATATTTCAAAATCACATCTGAGCAGAAAATCTACCCCCGAGCTTATTAAAGAGTTTGTCTGGATTATGGCACCACATAGACTGAGGGAAATGCAGTCGTTCATCCATCTGAGCCTGAACGCAGCAATAATGGATTCAAAGTCTAAAGCTTTCAAGCCCCCGTTTTCATAGTCTTTAACTGTGATTTGTGTATATAATGTGTTTTATTCTTCCAGATAAAGCTGAATATAATGGAATTGGACAGTTTGATCATTTTGGGAGATGTAAAAATTGAATAACAGGGATATGTGAGTCTTGAAAGTCCTTCTGCTTTAGACAGTAAGATACGACGTAATATGGATAAATCACGTGTTAGCCAGTGATTAAATTTTTTTAACTACATTTAATCTAGAAGTTATGTTATTATTCTCTCCATCATTAATATTCTTACTGATTATTAAACCAAGGTATTTTACCTCCTCTCTTACTGGAATATTGTTAGCAGTACTTTGATTACAGCTGTGCAGCTAAGATTTCACATTTTTTAAGGTTTAGTGTTAAGACAGATGCTTTGAAACTGAAAGGATTTTATTAATTGCAATAGAGACCATATTTACATTCCTTAGAAATAAGGCAGTGTCGTCAGCACATTGACTAATTTTAAATTCTTTATCAAGAATGTTTATTCCTTCCACATCTGGAGAGAGTTTGATATAAATGGCATTTCTGCTGCAACAATAAATAATAACGGGCTAATAGAGCATACCTACCAGCAATAAAAACAGGAAGCACAACAGCAGTTACCAAAATAAAACAGGAAGCGGAAACACAGGAGCCACGAGGAGGATAAAAACCAGAAAAAGAACCACACACAGGAAGTAGAAACCCAAACTGTGGTGGTAAAAGTCACCTGTTCACCTGCCGAGAGTAGCTTTACCTCAGCCTGAGGTTCACTGCTGCTGTTGGTGCTCAGAGAGATGAAGACGTCACATCAAAGCAGGACTGAAGCTCAGCTCCTGGAAAAGTTTAAATAGTCAAAGAAAGACTGAACGAAACCTAACAGCTGCATCAGTGCAGGCAGTGTCAGTGA